GGGTTGCCAATGTTCAACCCAGTGCAATATCCTAATACCTAACTGGCATCAAAGCGCCACTACAAATCAACCCCTTTTACTCAACACAAACACGCAAGATTCACCCACCTTTTCGCCAAATTCTAATGAAGAGAGCAGCCACTTTTCTCTCCTGATCTTGACTTTAAGCTGATGCTTAAAATACAAGATCAGTTGGGAAGAAGTGAACTTCTCACCTCCATAGAATTCCCTCTGACACACCGTCCAAATCATGACTGATAAAACCAAGTATGCAAAAGAACACAGTGTTCATCCGTCATCAATGGTGGTACCACATTGCTACAGAAAGAACTGGCCTCAAGGACAAAGAACTTTCCACACAGAATGCAAACCATGATGCCATCAATAAACTTGCACAACGGGACTACAAGCATTCAATGAAAGAAAGCATGACCCAGGGTCTCCACTACCCTATCACAGTGAACACAGTTTGGAGATTTCTCCCAGCCCGCCAAACAAACCCTTTTACTGACACAGAGGGCCTTATGAATTAACACAGCCAGGTGGGTGATGCCTTATTGAGGCATTTCAACCCAGGCATTCATGGCCATATTGAGTGAACCTCCTGCTTCATAAGACTGAGCTTGTCAATCAGATCATCTCATATGGATCCCCTAACTGACACATGATATAATGCCCTTTGAGACAATGCCTGGACTTTGGAGGCGAGACAGTGCTTGTAAGAGGTGTTTCGAGCAATACAACTTACATGATAGAAAGAGCACTCGCCTCGGGGTAAACAAAGCGGGGGGATCCTCCTCGCATGGGTGCATACTTCTCAAGGATGGGAAATTCATAAAGGCGTCTTCCTTCCAGAATTTGCCCTTCCCATCCAATTTATCATGCATTCAATCTTGGAACGCGATGTATGATGGTGAGCCTTAACACTAGGCATACCCAGACTGCTTTCAGAAGGGTGGAGGTAACAGATCTTTCAAGGTCCCTTAGCAGACTTGCCTTCTCACAAGAAGAACAATAAGAGCCTTACTAATGCGATTAGTGTGGTAGACAAAAGTGGAAGTACAGGAGTCGGTAAAGGAGAATCAAGTAGATGTGTGAGGCACATACTTTCGCCCTCCCACTTAAAGAAAGATTCCTTCGAAACCACAGTCAAACTGCAACCTCAGCTTTTCCCTGCACATCCGGCCAATTCATTTCCAGCAAGAGAATGGGACCAAACCAGACGCCAAGTAACTTTACCAGTCCGTCTGTCCAGAGGAAAGGTCCAGGAAGAGAAACTCTCTTCCCTACAGTCAACTGCAAGCCAACAGACTTATCATGGTTGATCCTGGCCCCTGTCACCATCTCATACTCTCTGATTTCTTTGCTGACTTCAACCTCGGCTCTGTTTGGCACAAGAACCAAAATGTCGTAGGCATAGGCAGAATACCTGGCCGTGCTAGCACTACGTAGAAAAATTCTGTATGGGACTGGATTTGTCTTTAACTTGCAAAGAGTAAGGTTCCAAAGCAAAAACATAAAGCAAAGGCAAAAGCAGACAACCTTGATGAATGGAGCAAGACAATATGAAAGAAACCAATTGAACCCCATTCGCATCCACCAGCACACTGGGAGACACATACATAAGTTGGATCCAGGTGAAAAAGTATGACCCAAAACCAGCTAATATTACCATAACTATTAGAGAAAAGGAGAACAGATAATACACTTTGATCCCATCCTAGTAACCAGGGAGTGAAGAAAAATGGAGTTTTAATAGCACTGGCTGTTTATTCAATGAATGCTGAATGTTTCCTTATAAGGAAATAGCTAATATTGCTATTACCATAAGAGATGAGGAGAACAGAAATTCTACAGTTTGATCACATTCTGGTGGCCAGGCAGTGAAGAAAAGTGGAGCTCTAGTAGCACTGGCTGCTTAGTCAATGAATGCTGAATGTTTCCTCATAAGGAAACTGCTAATATTGCTATTACCATTAGAGATGATGAGAACAGATACTACACTTTGATCAGGAAGTGAAGAAAAGTGTAATTTGAGTAGCACTAGCTGCTTTGTCAATGAATGCTGAATAAGGAAACGGCTAATATTGCTATTACCATTAGAGATGAGGAGAACAGATACTACACTTTGATCACATCCTGGTGGCCAGGCAGTGAAGAAAAGTGGAGCTCTAGTAACACTGGCTGCTTAGTCAATCAATGCTGAATGTTTCCTTATAAAGAAACAACTTAATTAACAGTACCATTACCATATATTTTGAATTAAAAACATTGAAGGCAGGGTTTTCCTCTTCTTGCACCAAGATTTACTGTCCCCTTATTTCTTTGTCAGCAAAAGAGGCAGCCCAGTATGTGAATTACAAAATGGAGATGACAAAGCCAATCCGGTACAAAATTTTAAATATCTAAGAAGTGTTTTAACAGAGGACAAAAGATGTGATACTGAAATCTGAAGGTGCATTGGAATAGCAAAAGAGGCTTTCCAAAATCTAAGCAAAGTATGAAGAAACAGGAAATGCTCATTAAAAACAAAGAACAAAGTATGGAACTGTTGTGTAATATCAGTCCTTCTATATAGCAGTGAATCGATAATCACATCACAGGTGAAGAAGATACTTGAGGCAACAGAAATGTGGTTCTACAGAAGGATGCTGAGAATACCATGGACTGAACATGTGAACAATGGCAAACTCTTAGATAAAATGAAAACAAAAAAAACACTTATAGTTAACATCAGAAATAGAAAGTTGAAATTTCTAGGGGACATTATGAGGAAAGAGGGCTTAGAAAAGTTGATACTCACAAGAGATATTGAATGTTACAGAGGAGGGTAGTGCATAACCTACCTTATGAACCTGCATAAATAGATGGCGAAACAGGGTTATGGGGCAATAATGAAAAGACAAAATCTACTAAGAGATAAAAGTGACAGGAAATTGTGGAGAGCCATGATTGTCAATGTTCTGAAAGAACATCTCATAGAAGAAGATGAAGAACAAGCTTCTGTAAATGGTAAGCAGAACAGGTATTAGGATATATAGTAAAAAGACAAAATTTACTAAGGGCTATAAAGGACAGGAAATTGTGGAGAGCCATGATCGCCTACATCCTACAGAAGAAGAATGAGCTTGTGTAAATGATTGGCAAGACAGAGATTAGGAGAGATAGTGAAAAGATAAAATTTACTAAGAGCTACAAAGGACAGGAAGTTGTGGAGAGTCATGATCACCAACATCTTGAAGAGACACAACACAGAAGAACATGAAAAATTATCTTTGGTAAATGGCTGGTAGAACAGGGATTAGGAGAGATAATATAACACAAAATTTACTAAGAGCTACAAAGAATAGGAAGTTGTGGAGAGTCATGATCACCAACATCTTGAAGAGACACAACACAGAAGAACATGAAAAATTATCTTTGGTAAATGGCTGGTAGAACAAAGATTAGGAGAGACAATATAACACAAAATTTACTAAGAGCTACAAAGGACAGGAAGTTGTGGAGAGTCATGATCTCCAACATCTTGAAGCGACACAACACAGAAGAACATGAAAAATTATCTTTGGTAAATGGCTGGTAGAACAAAGATTAGGAGAGACAATATAACACAAAATTTACTAAGAGCTACAAAGGACAGGAAGTTGTGGAGAGTCATGATCTCCAACATCTTGAAGCGACACAACACAGAAGAACATGAAAAATTATCTTTGGTAAATGGCTGGTAGAACAAAGATTAGGAGAGACAATATAACACAAAATTTACTAAGAGCTACAAAGGACAGGAAGTTGTGGAGAGTCATGATCTCCAACATCTTGAAGAGACACAACACAGAAGAACATGAAAAATTATCTTTGGTAAATGGCTGGTAGAACAGGGATTAGGAGAGATAATATAACACAAAATTTACTAAGAGCTACAAAGGACAGGAAGTTGTGGAGAGTCATGATCACAAACATCTTGAAGTGACACAGCACATAAAAAAGTTGAAGAAGGTGTTTGTGTAAATGATTGGCAGGACAGAATTTAGTAGAGATAACGAAAAAACAAAATTTACTAAGAGCTTCAATGAACAGGAAATTGTGGAGAGCCATGATCGCCTGTACCCTGAATGGACAAGGCATATAGATAGAATAAAGTAGGACAGAGATTCTTTGCCACTATGTCCCCATTACTATCCCCACTTCTAATGATTTGGTAAATGTGTTTTTGAATTCTAAGAGAAGCCATTGTTTTTATTCCATTGATTGTTCTATTATTCTCTTGGCTGAGAATATTAGCCAAACTCTTCTAGCAGAGAATGAATATCTTTTGGTTTCACTTACTGGAGGCATGCAGAAATCAACAGCTGTTTCTTAACGGCTGCACATTTCAAATTAAAATTAAACTCTCTACTCAAGTTCATCCAGTGAACTGTGAAATTAACTTGATGAGTCAGTTATTGGATTACGTTATCTGGTATTAATTTACATACAACTTATTTATTATTTTATGTTTTTGACAATATCAGTCTGTTCATGACTGTCACTCATTTATTCATATCAATTTCTATATTTACTTCTCTTAGTCTGTTCATATCAATTTATTTATTCATCTATCTATCCAAGTCTGTTCATTATATAACTATTTATCTTTGTTTAATCCTACCAGTCCATTTATTACAATCTTTTTATATCTATCTCAATCTGTTCATATCTACCTACCTAAAACTCTCACAGTCTGTTGATATCTATCTATAGATATATCTATATCAGTCTGTTCAGTATCTGTGTATTTATTTCATGCTTTTCATACCCATCTATCTAAATCTGTACATATATATATCTATCTGAATCTATTCATATCTGTCAGTCTGTATTTATCTATCTATAAAAATCTATTCATATCTATGTCAGTCTGTTGATATCTATGTCTTTCTATCTCAATCTGTTCATACCTACCTATTTATTTATCTGTCTACACCAGTCTGTTTATATATAACTATTTATGTTCCTATGTCATGCTGTTCACAACTACCTATCTCAGTTTGTTCATATCTATTTATTTATCTATGTTTGTCCACATCTGTCTATCTATCTATCTATCTATCAATGTCATTCTGCTCATATCTGTCTATTTATCTCAGTCTGTTCATATCTATGTCAGACTGTTCAAACATAACTATCTATCTACCTATTTATTTATCTATGTCAACCTGTTCATATCTAAGTCTGTTCATACATACCTATTTATTCATCTATCCAAATCTGTTCATTATATAATTATTTATTTTTGTTTAATCCTACCAGTCCATCTGTTACAATTTTTTTATATCTATCTCAATCTGTTCATATGTACCTACTTAACTCTAAGTCTGTTGATATCTATCTATAGATATATCTATATCAGTCTATTCAGTATGTGTAAGTATCTATTTCATGATATTCACACCCATATATCTAAATCTGTACCTATCTATCTGAATCTATTTATATCTATCGATTTCAGTCTGTTTGTATTTATCTATTTGTCTATCTATAAAAATCTATTCATATTTCTGTCAGTCTGTTCATATCTATCTATTTTTCTATATCAGCCTGTTTATACTTACCTATTTATTTACCTATCTACACCAGCTTGTTTATATATAACTATTTATTTACCTATGTCACTCTGTTCATAATTATCTATCTCAGTTTGTTTATAACTATTTTTCAATATATACCAGTCTGTTCATATCTATCCATTTATCTTTGTCAGTCTGTTCATATTTATTTATTTATCTATGTTTGTACATACCTATCTCTGTACATATCTATCTATCTATATATCTATCTATCTAAATTTGTTCATATCTGTCTGTCTATATTTGTTCATATCTATCTATATTTTTTCATATCGCTCTATCTTTATTTGTTCATATCTGTCTGTCTATCTATCTTTATTTGTTCATATCTGTCTGTCTATTTATCTATATTTGTTCATATCTTTATTTGTTCATATCTATCCATCTATATTTGTTCATATCTTTATTTGTTCATATCTATCCATCTATATTTGTTCATATCTTTATTTGTTCATATCTATCCATCTATATTTGTTCATATTTCTCTGTCTATCTATCTATATATGTTCATATCTATCTATCTATCTATCTATCTATCTATCTATCTATGTTCATATCTGTCAATCTATCTATGTGATTCTGTTCATATATGCCTATTGATTTATCTTGGTCAATCTGTTCATATCTATGTCAGTCTGTTCAAACCTATCTATCAATCTGTTCATATCTATCTATCTATCTATCTATCTATGTCAGCCTGTTCATATCTATTTATGTATGTATCTAACTATATCTATTCATTTCTATTTATTTAATTGGGCAGACGGAACTCTTAGGAGTTGTCGATAGCTATGCAAGCACAAAGCCACAAATCATCGTGGCCGAGTGTCTGAGCATGCTGGCCTTGTTCAAATTGTTGATCTTGCTAGATATCACGCTCTCTCCCAAAAACTGTAACTAAGGTCTGCTTGACATAGTTGCAGTATAAACCACAGGTGGGCTGTGGGTGTTGAGCAAACACAAATGTGCCTGAGCGAGCACCTGCAATAGGGATTAGCTTGCCGCTCTAGTAGATGGGTATCCTCAAATACGAGTGGGCTACTATTATTTATCAAACAATGTCAGCCTGTTCATATCTATCTAAGTATTTATCTATGTCTTCATATCTATCTATTTATTTATGTCAGCCTGTTGATATCTATGTACTTAACTCTCACAGTCTGTTGATATCTATCTATCTATCTATCTATGCCAGTCTGTACATATCTATGTATATATCTATGCCAGTCTGTTCACATCTATCTATGCCAATCTGTTCATATCTATCTATCTATTTATCTATATCAGCCGGTTCATATCTATGTATCTATGTCTGTTCATTTCTATTTATTTATCAATCAATTTCAGCCTGTTCATATCTAAGTATTTATCTATATCTATCTGTTCATATCTATCTAATTAACTCTCACAGTCTGTTGATATCTATCTATTTATAGAGGTAACTATAATATTCTGTTCAGTATCTATGTAAGTAACTATTCCATGCTTTTCATACGCATCTATCTAAATCAGTTCATATCTATATATCTAAATCAGTTCAGATTTATCGAAATCTGTTCATATCTGTCTATTACAGTCTGTTCATATCTATTTATCTATCTCAGTCTTTTCATATCTATACCTGTTCATATCTATTTCCATCTGTTCATATATCTATCTATCTATCTATCTATCTATCTATCTTCATGTCTATCTATCTATCTTTCACTATGTGTTCATGTCTCCCTATATAATACGTTCATATTTTCTGACCTTCGCATGAACTTCTCCACTTAAATTTTTAAATCTGGTCACTTGGTTTATCTCTCTTTTCATAATTGTCTTATAATTATTATAATTTTTTAAGTTTAGCTTAGTTTGGCACAAGGCCACAAATAGGGATAGAATGACTTAATAGTACTAGTACGGTTAAGTCATGCTTTAAATCCCTACTTGTGGCCTTGTGCCAAACTAGTCAACCTAGCTTGCCAACAATTGCCAACATCAAGGCATTCTCTATTTTTAACATCTCAATCTTTTAAGCTTGTTCACGCATGCCCCAATCAATTTATCACTGTTCTCTATAATCTGTTGAAGTTTGTTCATATCTATTTATTTATTGAAATCTCTTCAGACATATCACAGTGTCTTCATATACGTATATCTATCTCAGTCTGTATATATCTCTCTATGCTAGTCTGTTCTTATCTATCTAGCTATCTATGCCAGTCTGTTTATATCTATGTATCTATACCAGTCTGTTCATATCTATCTAGCTATCTATGCCAATCTGTTCATATCTATCTATGCCAATCTGTTCATATCTATCTATCTATCTATCTATCTATCTATGCCAGTCTGTTCATATCTATCTTTCTATCTATCTATCTATGTCATATATATATATATATATATATATATGTCTATGTTTCAGAAATGAGGTATTATGTACATTATTTACATTATTCGGATTATTGTCCTCATCTTTGTCACCATATTTATTACGTTTCAAGAACACATGGCACAGTGGATAAAGGCGTTAGTTTGATCCAGTGACAGAACCCAAAGAGTGTGAGTTCAATACCCAGTTAAGGCAGTGGAGAACTTTCAGAGGGAAATTAACAGGAAATAACTGATAACTGACATCCATTAAACATGGCATGTGTAACTAGAACAGTCTACCCCAGTGAGCGAAATAAAGGCTTCAGTTCGACATTCCAACCACCTGAAGAAGGCCAGAGTGTACAAAGCCGAAACATTGTAATAAATATGGCGACAAAGATGAGGACAATAGTCTGAATAATGTAAATGATACAGTGTTGTTTGATAAAAGTGACTCACCTGGTTTTTTTTACAAAAAATACTTTTTGTCTATTGTTTTGGGGGTTAAAATAATTTTTAATCTTACTAATATAAAGACCCCTTCCCGACCACCTAGAAAAAAAGTTTATTCACCCTAAGGTATTCTGTTGATAATTATAAATTTGGATATAAATGAGATTCAGGAAAAAACTCTGTGCAAAAAAAGTGACTCAGATATCGCATTCTAATGATTAAACTGGTAAATTTAAAGAGCTTTTGACAAAATATTGAAAACTATTTTATAATTCACCCAGAACAATATTCTAGAGAATTCTAGAACAGCTTAAATTAAATCTAGAGTATTCCAGAATATTCCAGAAAGCCTTATACAGTATAAAAACAGCTTGAAATAGCCACTCAAGTCACTAACCAGATGAAAGGGTACAAACACGCATCAGAACCACTTAAGGTATCTATTATTGCCCTCTCAAAAGCAGGCAAGTCTACGAGAGAAATTGCAGAAATTGCTATAACCTCACAATCAGCTGTCTCTCGAGTGCTTAGGGCATATAATGATGCCACTCCTGCATCAAGGAAGGAAACAAGGGGAGGAAAGAAAAAGATTGATGATAGAACTGGCAGAGTAATCAAGAGAGAAGTTGCGAAGAATAGGACTATAACTAGCCAAGAAATTGCAGCCAGTCTAAGTGAAGAGCAATGTGTTAGTCTTGCCTTTTCAACAGTCCATCGGTGGCTGTTAGAACAAGGCTACAAATCTTGTACACGAAGGTTTAAGCCGCTAATAAGCAAAGCCAACAAAGCCAAGAGACTTAAATGGACTCACTATTACAAAAATTTTACCGTAGAAGACTGGAAGAATGTTCTCTTCTCGGATGAAACGAAAGTTGAGCTAAATTCAAAGGATAAGGTGAGTCACTTTTATCCAACAGCACTGTATATATATATATATATATATATATATATATATATATATATATATAAAGGGTGTTTCATTAAGATGGATCAAAGTCAGCATTAAATAAATCAGTGTTATTCATGAAAATTTATTTATTTCTCTATTGGATCATATTATTTAAGTCATGGCAATTATGTGTGAAAAATAATATCGCCCAAATGTCCACCAAGGCTTCGGTGGCACATCGCCACTCGATGGCCAAAATTTTTGATGACGTTTCTGCATAGTTGCTCCTCGATCTATCCAATATGCCTTATTATCTCATCCTTTAGCTGTTGAATTGTTGTTGGCCAGATCTTATTTTTGAGATGACCCAAAAGGAAGAAATCTAAAGGTGTCAAGTTGCACGATCTATCTCTCTATGCCAGTCTGTTTATATCTATAATCTATCTATCTATGCCAGTCTGTTCATATCTATCTATCTATCTATCTATCTATCTATCTATCTAACTATCTCAGTCTGTTCATATCTATCTATCTATCTATCTATCTCAGTCTGTTCATATCTATCTATCTATCTATCTATCTATGCCAGTCTGTTCATATCCATCTATCTATCTATGCCAGTCTGTTCATATCTATCTATGCCAGTCTATTCATATCTATCTATGCCAGTCTATTCATATCTATCTATCTATCTATCTATCTATGCCAGTCTGTTCATATCCATCTATCTATCTATGCCAGTCTGTTTCTATCTATCTATCTATCTCAATCTGTTCATATCTATCTATCTATCTATCTCAATCTGTTCATATCTATCTATCTATCTATCTATCTATCTATCTATCTATCTATGCCAGTCTGTTCATATCCATCTATCTATCTATGCTAGACTGTTCATATTCATCTATCTATCTATGCCAGTCTGTTTATATCCATCTATCTATCTCAATCTGTTCATATCTATCTATCTATCTATCTATCTATCTATTTATCTATGCCAGTCTGTTCATATCCATCTATCTCTCTATGCTAGTCTGTTCATATTCATCTATCTATCTATGCCAGTCTGTTCATATCCATCTATCTATCTATCTACCTATGCCAGCCTGTTCATATCTATCTAAATCTGTCCATATCCATCTTTAATCATTTCTATCTCACTCTATTCATATCTATTATTTATAATTCTACTTTTGAGATAAACTTTGTGTTTCATTGAAAATAAAATATATTCTTGTCATTTATAAAGAACAAAAGACAATTCCATTCTACATGAGATTATATTTTACTAAAATCCAATAAAAATACATTAACTTTATTTTTATTTACCTACCAACAAATCTTTAGTATATGAAATCCTTTGGTATTCATGTCATCTTCCAAAATAAAACTGTTCCCTTACTATCCACAGATCCAATAATCATTCAACTAGACATTAAAAATCTGTCAAACATGATTTATTTTGTTGCAGGAAAAGTTTCTCTTATCTTTTTTATAAAATCTTTTAATCGTATAAATCTGTATCTCCATATACTCTGATTTTTGATGACCTTATGCCATCTTTCAAATAAAATGTTTATTCCAACCCATGACAATTGTACTGAAAGTGGTGCATCACATGGTTGGAAGTCAGGTATTACATTCCACTGATTTTTGACAATCAATTTACAGTTAATATCTGTTTACTCCAGAGCTTGGCTTTATCTATTATTTAGTCCAGAGGTGTGTCTAATTTATTCTTTGCAAATATTTGTGGTTTTGTACATTATCAAAAGTTTTCTATTGTTCAAAATTTAGTAATATATTCACACATAGAAACATTTGTGTATATATATATATATATATATATATATATATATATATAAGGCTGTTCCAATAATTTGTACTGATTTTAAATGTGAATTAAGTTTAAGTGTCTAATGATTTTTTTTCTTCCAGATTTAACGACTTAAGTCTTTGGTAATTTCAGCTATTGAAAATTTAACAATCAAACAACCTGTTAAAGTTATCGAAGCCTATTAAAAATTGGACATTCAAACAGAAATACAATGAGAAATTCCTAGGTTGCACCATCTCTTGAAACAGCAAAGTCAATTGATCACCACGATTGTGCAACTTGACACCTTTAGATTTCTTCCTTTGGGGTCATCTCAAAAATAAGGTCTTGCCAACATATCAATAGCTTAAGGATGAGATAATAAGGCATATTTGTGAGATCGAGGAGCAACTATGCAGAGACATCATCAAAAATTTTGACCATTGAGTGAAGGTGTGCCACCAAAGCCTTGGTGGATATTTCGGTGATATTATTTTTCATACATTATTGCCATGACTTAAATAATATGATCCAATAGAGAAATAAATAAATTTTCATGAATAACACTGATTTATTTAATGCTGCCTTTGATCCATCTTAATGAAACACCCTTTATATATATATATATATATATATATATATATATATATATATATATATATGAGGTGTAACAGCAAAATTGTCCAATTGTTAGATTAAGCTTTGAATCATTGTATATTGGAAATGATTAAAGATATCTTACTAGAATTCTCCATGGCTTTATAACTCTATTGGACTCTATTTTAAGCAATAAGAATGTATAATTACTCTCCAAACATAACAGAAGAATCATGATGGAATTGATCATAAATGAAAATGAGATGTTCATCATTAATTAATCATAGCTAAGGATTAGAAGCTCATAAAGGACTGAAATTAAGTTCAAATATATGTATATTATTCCAGGATCATTTTCCAACTTATTCAAGATGGTCTTTGCCCTTTCTAACTTTTTAACTTTCTGTCCTGGAGTAGCAAGGTGCTTCATATACAATTTCATTTTCAAGTATTTTTTCACTGCCCTTTTGACTGTCATAGCCAAAACTCCTCTGTCACATGCCAAATGTTTTATGGATTGAGTTGGATCATTTCTAATCGATCTCTTTAGCTCTAAGTTGAAATGATGATCCCTCTTCCTGTTTTGACTTCCTGATTCAGTTTTCCTCTGTACTGTTCCATCTTTTTTAAACTTATTCGCCATTCTCTTGATGGTTCTTGAATGGACTTTGAAGATGGAAACCAGAGTGTGAATGTTGGTGCTATTACTGCTGACCTGAATGATCTTTTTTGTCTCGCTTGGGAAGATAGTGGAGCTAAAACAAAATGATTTTAACCTGTTCACTTTCTAGCTGAATAACTCAAAGGGTTTTTTTAGTGATTCTTACAACAAATGGTGTCAAGATGACTAAACAAACGTCTTATCTGAAAACCTGGTTCTCCTGGTCAAGAAGAAGCAAAACATCCCCAGAGCAGAATGCTCCTACCACTGTGCTTAATTGTAGAGAGGGTATTTTTTTGTTTGTGAACTTCATTCACTTTTCTCCATACATAACAGGGGTTCATGTGACCAAATAATTTAATAAGTTTGGTTTCATCTGACCATAAAACAGTTTCAATATTTACTCCCATGTTCTAAACCGGTAATTCTCAATGTGGTCCAGGTGGACCACCGGTGGTCTACATAGCATTTCTAGTGGTCCACAGAGAATTCATAGCCATAAAAATATTGTAGCCATTTCACGAAAGTGTATCTAAATTATTCATATTTTGAAGAATTAAAAAATATAATATTTTCTTTAATAACAAACATGTCCATTATACATTATTTACATTATTCAGACTATTGTCCTCATCTTTGTCGCCATATTTATTACGTTTCGGCTGTTGTATGCCCCAACCTTCTTCAGGTGATTGGAATGTCGAACTCTACCCTTTATTTTGCTCACTGGGGTAGACTGTTCTAGTTCCACATGCCATGCTTTAAAGGATGTCAGTTATCAGTTATCTCCTGTTAATTCCCCTCTGAAAGTTCTCCACTGCCCTAACCAGGTATTGAACTCACACTCTTTGGGTCCTGTCATTGGATCTAATGCCTTTATCCACTGTGCCATGTTTCCTCAAGAGTGTGAGTTCAATACCGGATAAGGCAGTGGAGAACTTTCAGAGGGAAATTATCAGGAGATAACTGACATCCATTAGACATGTGTCCTTGATCCAGTGGCATGACCCAAAGAGTGTGAGTTCAATACCTGGTTAAGGCAGTGGAGAACTTGGAGAGAGAAATTAACAGGAGATAACTGATAACTGACATCCATTAAACATGGCATGTGGAACTAGAACAGTCTACTCCAGTGATCAAAATAAAGGCTTCAGTTCGACATTCCAACCACCTGAAGAAGGTCGGAGCATGCAACGGCCGAAACGTTGTAATAAATATGATGACAAAGATGAGAAAAATAGTCTGAATAATGTACATAATGTACATAATACCTCATCTCAGAAACATAGACAGATACTGAAGGGCCGAAACGTTGTAATAAATATGACGACAAAGATGAGGACAATAGTCCGAATAATGTAAATAGTGTACATACTACCTCATCTCAGAAACATAGACAGATACTGAAGGGCCGAAACGCTGTAATGAATATGACGACAAAGATGAGGACAATAGTCCGAATAATGTAAATAATGTACATAATACCTCATCTCAGGAACATAGACAGATACTGAAGGGCCGAAACGTTGTAATAAATATGACGACAAAGATGAGGACAATAGTCCGAATAATGTAAATAGTGTACATAATACCTCATTTCAGAAACATAGACAGAATGTCCATTATATCGGTATTATGCTATGCTATATTTATTTTATCTTTTAACATATATCTGATATCCTGTGATTTTGATATCCTATGTTTATCCTTGCTACCTAAAATAAATTTTAAAGTCTAAATAGACTACTTTGTCTTTTGATTGAGTATTTTGGTATGAAAATTGAAGTCTAAAAATAAAAATAGGAGTGGTCCATTTGAATTTTTTGAAGAAAAAATGGTAAACAGGCTGAAAAAGTTTAAGAAGCACTGTTCTAGATGGCTTCTAGCATAAGCTAATCTGCATTTTAGGTGTTTAGCCTTAAGTAAGTGAATTTCTTCCTTGGCTGACAAGCTCTAAGTTCAGCTCAATGAAAGCATCTGGTGACTGTGTTCATCAATATATTCAACCCTGATGTCTTTACATCATTAACAATGTCTTCTATCTTTAAGTGAGGATTCTTTAAGACATCTCTAATAATTTTCCTTTCCATTCTCTCAGAAATTAACCGTTTTCTGCTAGTCCTTAAATTATTCACAACACAATGAGAATGATTGTACTTCTTGATAATGCTACAAATTTTCAATCTTGGAACATTTAAATACTTGGAAAGTATTGTATATCCTTCACCTTGTTTGTATGCATCAACTATCTTTATTTAGAGCTTCTTGTCAAGTCCAGCCATCTTCACCATGGTCACAGAAGAAATAAGTTATTTTGGCACGAGGCACTCCCATATTGTCTTCTTCATTACCTTTTAGAATGTTATAGAATCAGGTCAATACTATTTCATTTTCTAAGGATTGGAAGCTCATGAAGGACTGAAATTAAGCTAAAATGTCTTATCTGAAAACCTGGTTCTCCTGGTCAAGAAGAAGCAAAACATCCTCAGAGCAGAATTCTCCCACCACCGTGCTTAATTTTAGGCAGGGTATTTTTTTTGTTTGTGAACTTCATTCACTTTCCTCCATACATAACAGGAGTTGATGTGACCAAATAATTCAATAAGTTTGGTTTCGTCTGACTATAAAACAGTTTCAATATTTTCATTTAGAGCTTCTTAATAGATAATTATTAGACAGATAGATAGATAGATAGATAGATAGATAGATAATGAATAGACTGAGATAGTGTTATGCCATAGTACCTATTCTTTGGTAATGGACTCTCCCATAGATAATAAGTAGGAGTAGCAGTGGCAAATCTGGCAGAATGGTGTTGAGCGCGTCAGTTGAGATTCGGACATTTGAAGTACCAACCATCACAACTAGATTGCTGCGCCATTGACTCTTATTTTCCAAGTTCCTAACATTTTGTACGTCGGACCTAATTTACGACGACTTATTAGAAATACAAGCCTCCACTGTGAAAATACTCCACAACAGATAGATAGATAGATAATGAATAGACTGAGATAGATAGATAGATAGATAGATAGATAGATAGATAGATA